GCCATAAACGTATTCAGTGCATGCTATTTTCCCTACCCGAAATGGGTTGTCCTCATTAAAACATCACTAAACCAAACTGCTGCTATTTTAAACCCACATACTTATTACTATTCCCCATGCTTTTGCTTCTCCTGAAATGTTCTTTGCAGATCTAATTGACAATCCAAATATAATACTTTCAAATCACAAGCACTATCTTTTCAAGGTAAAAGTGGTTAAACAAACAAAAACACCATTCGTGTGTGTGTGTGTGTGTGTTTTTAGTACAACCTATTTCTCTCTGAATCTCACTAAGAGTTTTACACATTCATTTATAACAAAGAAACATCTGGTCACAGACTGACCAAGAATTATCTTCTTTAGTTTTTAGAAAATGTAACTTCAGAACCCAAACCAATTTCCTATGACTTCTAAGCCTTGGTTTTTGCACTACATACACCAGTTTCACTAGGTGAGTCTGGAAAATTAACAGAAGTGCACTCTGCAGTGGTATGACATGTAGCATGGAATGACTTTACTAAGTGTGGGTTAAAATGAGGAAAAAATTTTGCTGGGCAAATGTAAAAGTGAGAAAGTGAAGTCAAAACATACCTCCATTTATGTTTTAACATGACTAGTCAAGTACAAACTTAAGGTAAGAAAAAAAGGAAAATGTAAGTATAACAAGTTATGTGGAGAAATACATATATTTCAGCATTTATATATAATAGATCAGTGATGTATCAGTATTGTCAGGGATATACTATGAATGAAAGCCTCTGTTTTATTTTTATTATATATCTTTTTATTATATATATAAAAATACATAAACTATATGTGCAAACATATACATTATTCTTCAGCAAATTTTATAAAATCAAAATATAGGATACATAAAACAAAGGCCTTTGTTCATTGTATATCCCCAATAATACTGACTTGTATTACCCTACAACCGTTTGTTTATGAATACTACTATAAGAGTTAAATTTTGTCACTAGAAGTCACTCAATTGAACATGGTCATCTCTCACTACCTGAACGTTGTAAATTATTACTAGAGAGAGAGAAAAATAGATTTTAGAAAGCTCCTAACACATCAACTTTCCACCTAGAGAAAGAACAGGGAATCAGGATTCTAAGGATAATATATAGCTTAAAAAGATATATTGAATGGAACATGAGAGGGGGCTAAAAAGAAGATTAAAAAGTTTTCATCTCAAATTCTAAGCTCACAATTGGTAGATACTGAAAAACAGACTGTAATTTATTCCTATTCATCATATACTTCTTATTTATTTCCTTAGCATTTATGATATATTTTCGTCTCATAACAACTGAACTTTTACAACCTAAACAAAGGGGAATAGAAATTTAAGTCGTATTTTTAGAATTCAAATAGATTTCATTATGACATAGTACACGTATTTTATTACCTGTACCATCAAATGGATTTCATTATGATAGAGTGTGCATATTATATAACCTGCAGCATGGTGCAGAATTCCAAATCTCCTCATGCATTCACATTCAAAAAATACTAAAATGCTTCTTACATTTAAGACCTTATTCTAGGTGCTCCAGGAAATGCACAATTATGTTCCCTAATCTCTAGCGGTGTATACTGATGCAGGGGTAATAAAATGAATATGTAAATAACTATACTACAAAGTATCTGAAACTTGAAATTTTAGAATGGGACACGAGGACTAGACATACTTTTTTAAACTATAATACAAAAGAATTCTGAAGTAGGTTTTATCATATGGTTGTTATTAAGAGTCTACTTTGAGAGCTGGTTGTTATTTCAGGGAAAACATGTATTCTTCAATTAGATGAAGAGTTTTGTA